CCCCCCCCCCCCCACTCCCTTTTTGAAAGAAGAGCATGTCCTTTCTTTCTTTTAACTCCGTTTGAAAAAAGAAGGACTTTGAAGTTCAGCGTTTGTAGCTTACGCCTTACAATCAAAAATATGCCTACATAACATGTGTNNTGTGTGTGTGTTGTCTTAACCCACCCTAACAAGGTACTATTGGAGATTCCAAAACACGCCGCCGCCCTGCGAGCCACGTCTGCCGCTCCGAGTCACCCCAGGGCCTTGGATCCAGGCTGAGGAAAACTTCTCGGGTTTAGGGTTTAGGGCCAAACTTTGGCTTTGGGTTTTGGGGTCACGGCTGCTTTTTTTGAGTGCACTAGCCTCTTTCTCCACTGCCACGAGACTCGCCCCTGGTCACGGCTTAGGGCCTTGGGTGTCTCAGTCAAACGGCCGTGCCAGAGCTAAACCACCAAGCACCAAGCCCGGAACAGGCCCTCACCCGCGCGAGCGCGACTGCGGTTCCAGGAAGGTTTTCGTAGAGGGGCCTTCACGATTGGAAACGGGTCTTGGGATCAGAATAACAACAAGGATAAATAAGAAGAAGAAGAAGAAAAAAAAAGGATGACAATAGTAATGGATAGATAGGGACTCGAAAGTAGTATCCCGACTAACTCACCCAAACACGACGGCTTATGGACGAAATCCTGCATCTAGGTGTATAGGTGCTAGGGCATTCTGTTTCTAGTACCTTACATTCTGGGGAATGTGGCAGATTCCCTCCCGTCGATAGTACAGGATTGTGTCAAAAGGAACCTTGCATTCAAAGAGTTGATCTTCTTCAAAAAACCTTCGTAGAGATCTTAGGCAGCCGAGCTTTGGGTCCCTTGAAGGGACAAGCAGCGCAGAAAAGACGTACTAGGCCAATGAAGCTGTCCTACTGGTACTAGTACTGGTACTAGTACTAGTACACTAGTACTAGTACTAGCACTACTACTACTACTAGTACTCGTACTAGTACTAGTACTGGTGCTACTACTACTACTACTACTCCTCCTCCTCCTCCTCCTGCTGCTGCTGCTGCTGCTGCTGCTGCTGCTGCTGCTGCGACTACGACTACGATGACGACTACGACGACGAAGCGGCGACGAAGCGGCGACGAAGAGGACGACGACTGCTACTGCCACGACGACGACGACGACGAAGACGACGACGACGACGACTACTACTACTACTACTGGGACTAGGAGGTGGAGCGGCAAGAATTCTATGTCGCCTTGCCATTGGCATTCGCAATATTACAGACATCTTATATTCGCTTTCATTATGCATGCGACGGGTTTGCTGCTACGTGCTTCTACCACGGCTGCCACCTTACATTCGAAACCCGAAACTTTGCCACAAACTATCGGGTGGCGGTGTTGTCGTGGGTTCTGGCAGTTCACAGCCCCTAAACTCTAAACCCTAAACCCTAAACGGCCCAAGGGTCTCTCCGGGAGTGCCGATGGGATACCGCGTGTACTGCTTGAAAGCCATGGCGTCTGGTGGATTGAGGGAACAAAACGGGGTTTAGGGTTTAAGGTTTAGGGTTTAGGGTTTAGGGCTGAACAAAACTGCTGTGATGGCTTTATGGGCTTCCTTCAAGGACTCCCTTTGATTTCAGGATTCAATTGGCGAGGGCAATAAGCCCGTAAGGGCAAGCCGAAATGGCAGGCGACATGCGTTCGTGAAATGACTCAGAGCTGGCATACCTCATCGAACATCATGCATGACGCTTTATTAGAGGGTTTAGGGTTTAGGGTTCAGGGTTTAGGGTTTAGGGTTCAGGGTTTAGGGTTTAGGGTTTAGGGTGCCTTCAGCACCGAAGGCAAGGAAAAGGGACTCCAGTGTCTAGCCAGGCTTGACACCCTGAGAGGGAGGAGGACTCCAGGGTTACCAGTGGCTCCTGCAAGTCCTAAAAACCATGGAGACCGACCCCTGCACCCTAAGCCCTCAACTTTAAACCCTAAGCCCCAAACCCCAAGCTATCCGGCCCAGAAACTCAGGATCGTCAGAGAAGCCGTTCTTGATGAACTTCTTGCCTCGAAACCGACAGAAAGCAGTGAGAAACCCCTAAACTACCCCACGGGTTTAGGCTTTAAAGGGTTGGGGCTGTAAGGCTTTAAGGTTTAGGGTCAACCCTAATCCCTAAACTCCCTTTATATAGCTCCCAAGAGCACAGAGAACTCTCAGATGCTCTGGGATCTAGTGTGCGGGCCTTAACGGTTGGAGTCGGGCCTTGACGAAACCAGGTATACTGAAACAAGGGTCGAACACCTACTGTAGGAGCCTTAATAATTCGAACAGGGTTTTAGGGGTTCCTTATTTTAATTATAGTATAGTATACCCAAACCCTATTCTGAGTATTAAGGCCCCTATATTACAAGGGCTGCGAAGCTTTGCCCGCGCTTGAGGGGCCTCATAGCCCCTTACCAACGAACCTGCAGAAACTCGACCACGGCCGAGGTGCAGTTGTCCCAGGCACCGCCCGAGTTGGACATGGAGATGGCCAGCTGCACCTTAGTTTCCAAAATTATAAGTCAGAAAAGCTGTAAACTTTCAGCTTTCAGGAGGGTTCCATTATTCCAAAAAAAATCTAAGCTTTCAGCTTCAAGGGGGATGGGGCTTCCAATATCCCGAAAACAGAAGGCGTCAAGTCTTCATCCTTTCAGCTACCAAGGTGCGGAGGAGCCCAGGGAGCCCGTCAGGAGCCCGAAGACGGCCTCGCGGCGGTTTTGCGCGCGCGACTCGAGCTTTGGGGTCCGTGGTCGTGTTTAGGGTTGAGGGTCCTGAAGAGTTTGGTCTGAGTAGAGCTACCGTAGCTTTAAGGCTTAGATGGTCTGTAAGGCTTCTGGGGGGTGAGATCAGGGAAGACTGCAATCTCGGGAGGATTAGACGCTACACCCACATAAATCCTGAAACAGTCTTGGCCCGACAACCTGAACCCTGAACCCTACATCCGACACCCTGAACCCCAAAACCCCTAAACCCTAGAACCCTGAAGCCCCAAACCTCTAAACTTTAAACCCCTCAAACGCCGAAAAAAGTTCCGCCTGGACACCGAAGAAGGTGCCGGCCAACAGAGGCGAGAGGATCCTTATGTGAAGGAAAACTTCGGGGGGTCTTGTGTGTAAGCTTCGAGGTTGTTAGTTTTCAGGTTTGAGGCATTTATGGTTTCTGGACGTAGGCTTGAGCATCCCTACTTGAAGGACCAGGGCACCTAGTAACCAGGGTGCGACACGGGTTCTTGGGTTCTAAAAGGGATCTACTAGAAGGGGCTCTACAGGGGTTCACACAACTTTCCAAGCAATATCGGTCGATGTAGTAAGTCTCCAGGGTTTAGCAGGGCAGGGGTTCTCGGCATGCGGTGAATTTGAAGAATCGTGGGACTGAGCAAACATATGGGCATGAAGATCCACCATAACAGGAAAGGAGGCGTCTGACGCAGCTCCCCTTCAGCATGCCAAAAGCCTCCAAAAACACCTTGCCGATGAATTCTGGAGGGGGCGATGATTACATGTCATTGGAAGCGCATCAACTTCGGAAGAGCACTGCGGATGTCGTCAATGTATACATAGTGGTGTGCGCTCCATGCTTCACATCGCAATGCGCGAAGTCCAGACTGCTGTTGCAGCCAGAACACCTTGGCGTTTAGGCGCGTGCCTGCCAGCACCGCTCCATGACCCCATGTGTTGGGATGAGGGCGCGAGCAGGTCGATGTAAACACCTCCTCCAAAAGCTCAGTGTCCTCCTCGTCCCGGCATTCTTGCTTGGTGGCCACATGGACACCAATGCGGCCTTCTCGAACAGTTCCTCCAAAGCAAAAGCCCAGTGGCGGCTCCTTATCAAACAACGAGTCTCTAAATAGTCATAGTGAACAACAACCCATTTACATCTGGTTGCAAGTTGACGTGGAAGTGCGAGGGCTTGGGCTTTATGTGCCTGGAAGCAGATATCCGAAACGATGCCACTTCAACATCAGCCTGACTTCCCTGTTTAGGGTTTAGACTTCCCTGTTTTAGGGCTTAGGGCTTAGACTTCCCTGGTCCCTGAAACCTTAAGTCCCAAGGCTCCCCTATCCCCCCTAGGACCCCCGCCTACATCCTAAAACCCTGGACCTCTCCAACCGAAACACCGAAGTCCCAGGATTCCTAGATAGACCCAACAGCCCCAAGATTCCCAGACGCCACACAACTCCCCCGAACCCTCTTCGGTCCCTTCAGATTACAAGCCTTCTACAAACAAAGTCGGCCCCTGAAGTCGGAGTCCAAATAGCACCAGGCAGGCAGGAGCCACCATCTCGACCAGGGATGCCTGGAAGACGGAGTCTAGGGCTCAGGGCTTCTCGGGTTTAGGGCTCAGGGCCTTTAGGGTTTAGGGCTCAGGGCTTTTGGGGCTTAGGGTTTAGACTTTGGGGCTTTGGGTGTTCAGGGTGTTTAGAGTGATTCTAATGATTATGATTCTAATGTGTGACGGTCTGTAAACGTGTGAGTGTTTAAGGGCGCTTGGGTTTATACGAGTTCTATCGTAGCTTGCTTCATCATGGATTTGAGAGCCCAAAACCCGCTAAACTCTTGCAACTCCTTTGAAAACCACTGATGAACTTCTAAACCCCTGAGCCCTCTCAAGACCCTTAAGACCCTGAAGAGACCAAAGAAACCCAACAAAGATGCACCTGAAGGCGGCTACCCGAAGCCTTCTAGGCCCTAAACCCCGAAGCCCCACCCCCAAAGGGCGCCTGGGTGGAGATCTGGATGCAGGTCAGAGAGTCCGGCTTCAACTCGGTGCTGCCATCCAACCTTGAAGAAGGCTTTTGGTGGTGCTTTCCGTGTGTGTAGAGGGTGTTAAGCTTTTATGTTGAGGGTTCCGTAAGGATGACAAAAAGGGCTCTTTGCAGGGGAGGCTTAGGGTTAGGACAGAGTTTAAGGCTTACGGTTAGGGCAGGGGGTCCTTTTGGTGTTCCGGCCTATTGTTAAGATAGAATTTCAGACAAACCAGCACTCCAATAGAGACGAATAGTATCAACGAAGCTGACACAAGAGCCCTCTATACAAGGGGCCTATACGGCAAACCTCAAGGGACCAAAAAGATCCCCATAAAGCCCGCCCCATTCCACCCGAAGCCAAGACCAAGCCAGTGGCAAGGTCTTCCCCTGCGAGTCCTTGACGCTGAACTGCCTGGCCGGAGAGCTTGAGTTCAGGGCTCAGGGGTTGGGAGACCCTAAAGACACGGGTTTAGGTATGCTTCGGGTGCAGGTAAACCCTGAACTTTAGGGCTCAGGGGTTTGGAGACCCTGCAACCTCCAAATCCCAGTAAAACAGATGCTGAGGGTTTGGGGTTGATGTGTCATCATATGGGTTCAAGGGTTTAGGGATGCTTCGGGTGCAGGTAAACCCTGAACCCCCTAAACGGCATATTGTGGTAGAACTCCTTCACCCTAAACCCTAGACCCTAAACCCTAAACCCTAAACCCTAAACCCCCTGAGGAACGGTGCTTCTGAGTCTTCCGGCCCTTGGTTGCCCGGGGTTGTGCGCGGGAACTTGTGTTTGTCATGACGACATGGCACCCACGGGGAGCCTTCCCAGACCCAAGACCCTAGACCCTAAATTCCTAAACCCTGAACCCTAAACCCCTAAACCCCTAAACCCTTGACCCTAAACCCCGAAACCTTTAACCCTGAACACCTAAACCCTTGACCCTAAACCCTCTTCACCTTCCAAGCCCATCGAAGCCCGAAGCTGTGGGGCGATCCGGATTCTCCCAGATCTGAAACTTCATTCAGCTTAACATAGAGGTCTTACCAATCAAAATGGGGTTTCGGGCATATTATACCATCACTATAACAACTCTAACAAGGAACCACCAAAATAGTGTTGGGAATTATTCCGGCCCCTGCATTCGATCTTCAGACAGTCCAGAACCCCTTTCCTCAGATCCCTTCTCAAGCGCTCCTGAACCCACGGTTTAGGGTTTAGGGTTTCCCTAACTGTTGCCTGCAGGATCCCTTCTCCAGAACTCCTGTGAAGATCGAAGGAAGCTGCTATTATATGGGTGGTTGTCAAAATTATGGTCCCTTTTTGGGTACCCTAAATAATAGGTGCCGTATTATATTAGGGACCCAAAAAGGGACCACAATTTTGACAACCACCCATATGTAAGAGTGTAACAGGCCTCTTCACTTCTGCGACCATTTCGCCCGCGGCCTGCGCAAGGGATCAGAAAGCTGGGTCGGGCCTGGGCTGGCTTCCCCCTGCATATAACGAACCCGTATTCGGGTTTAGGGTTTGGGGTTTAGGGTTTGGGGTTTAGGGTTTACGGCAGCTCTGAGCGTAAAACCTGAAGCAGAGAGCCCTCAGAAAACTCGGTCCCATGATGACGAGCCTTTCTAAAGCCCTAAATGCCAGCATCTGGGGCTGTGGGTAGTCGGGTCCTCCTGGTCGTTGCGTTGAGATCCGACGGTGCTTCCCCGGAAAAGGGCTCGGGTTTAGGGCCTGAAGGGTTTTTGATTGAGGGTTAGGGTGTGTAGGGCTTTGGATTTTGGGGTTCAGTCATAGTCCATCCGAGCAGAGTAAAGGAGCTGTAGCTGTCAATCGATAAACATCCGATCCTATGTCTCGCACTACCCATCACGACCCAAGAACCTTCAAGCAAGGGGACCTTTAAATCGCCCTACCTTACATGACTCTGACGGCGTTCGAAGTCACCGGGCGCCGAAGAATAGAGCCCTTACACGGCTGGAAAATGGCCTGTGATAAGGCCATCATCCTCTAGAGTCCAAACCCCCTTTACTGGAAGGATCGCCCCTTGACGACCTTCTGCAGGACACGACTACGAGAGTGCTGTTGGTTGAGATAGTGTAAGACTCTGTCCATCAGCAGTACCACCGCCAAATCCTGTGTAAGGCGGGCTGAAGTGCTGATCTCGGGTCCCCTGCCTTGCCGACGGACTTCATGGTGAGGGCGGCGAACCAGTAGGGCACCATGCAGCCGATGATGAGGAAGGCGAAGGTGACGGGCTCCAGGATGTTGACGCCGGTCTTCACGCGCAGGCGCACGACGAAGGCGCCGTAGAGGGCCAGGGAGACCAGGGC